TGTTTTTCCATTAGCGCGTTGAGTTCGTGACCAATTTGCCATTAAACTTAATTAACAAAATTTTTAATCTCATATAAACTATTTGACAGGTACTATTTCAATAAAACTGGTGACGAAAGTGTATTAAGTATTGTTTTTACATTAGTGCGATTAAACATAATTGAAATAGTACCTCTTATTCTTCTGATACCGGTTTTTATTGAAATAGTACCAGTTATTCTTCTACACAGTACATGTTATTGATCAATTAGTACCTACTTTTGGTCAACGAAGAGAATTATTTCAAATGTGGTCAACATTTAAAAGAAGTAGTACCAGACCTACACTAAGGTAGTACAATTTTATGAAGATTTAGTATCACATATTGAGTTTTTAGTACCACTTGTAATGAACACATAGAAACACCGAAATTGGTCGAAAAAGATGTTTATATTACCCATAATCACCCTCACATTAGTTTATATTGGATTTAAAATGTTTTTCATTGAGTTTAATCGTAAAATGGTCATGAACTCGACACACTAATGAGAAAACACTACTACTATACTTCACTTGTTTGAGTGAGACACTTCATCTCATAGAATCATCATACATGACTACTTCAATTTCTACCTATGTGCTTTAACTTCCACTATTTTCATCCAAATCAGTTTCATGTGACATGGTAGACATGAAGGATTAGAAATATCACGATTCTTAAAATAGTACATGATTTAGGAAAAATAGTACCACATTTTCTTGTATGTAGTACCTGTTTTCAGTCGATTAATACAAACTATTGTGAAGGATAATTGATTATTTCAACTGTGGTCAACATTTAAAAGAAGTGGTACCAGACCTACAGTAAGGTAGTACCACTTTATGGTGATTTAGTACCACATATGGAGTCTTTAGTTTATATGAGATTTAAAATATTTTTCATTGAGTTTAATCGTAAAATGGTCATGAACTCGACACACTAATGAGAAAACACTACTTCTACACTTCACTTCATTGAATGACACACTTCATCTTATAGAATCATCATACATGACTACTTCAATTTCTACCTATATGCTTTAACTTCCACTATTTCCATCCAAATCACGCGTTAATGTTCCACGTGACATGGTAGACATGAAAGATTAGAAATATCACGATTCTTAAAATAGTACCTGATTTAGAAGAAATAGTACCACATTTTCTTACATGTAGTACCTGTTTTCAGTCGATTAGTACATACTTTTGTGAAGGATAATTATTTATTTCAAGTGTGGCCAACATTTAAAAAAAGTAGTACCAGTCATAGTGTCATGTAGTACCTGTATATGGGGACTTAGTACTACATATGGAGTCTTTAGTACAACTTGTAGTGAACACATAGAAACACCAAATTTCAGTCGAAAATGATGTTTATACGACCCATAATCACTCTCACATTAGTTTATATGAGATTTAAAATTTGTTTAATTAAGTTTAATCGCAAATTGGTGACGAACTCAACGCACTAATGGAAAAACAATACTTAATACACTTCTGGTACCAGTTTTTATTGAAATAGTACTTGTTGTTCTTCTACGCAGTACCTGATATAGATCAATTAGTACATACTTTTGGTCAACCAAGATGGAATATTTCAACTGTGGTCAACATTCAAAAAACGTAGTACCAGTCATAGTGTCAGGTAGTACCTGTTTATTTGGATTTAGTACCACATATAGAGTCTTTAGTACCACTTGTAGTGAACACATAGAAACACCAAATTTCGATCGAAAATGATATTTATACGACCCATAATCACGCTTACATTAGTTTATATGAGATTTAAAATTCGATTAATTAAGTTTAATCGCAAATTGGTCATGAAATCAACGCACTAATGGAAAAACAATACTTAATACACTTCTGGTACCAATTTTTATTGAAATAGTACTTGTTGTTCTTCTACGCAGTAACTGATATAGATCAATTAGTACCTACTTTTGATCAACCAAGATGAAATATTTCAACTGTGATCAACATTTAAAAAAAGTAGTACCAGTCATAGTGTCAAGTCGTACCTGTTTATTGGGATTTAGTACCACATTGGGATTTAGTCTATTTGCGAATGACAATTCCGCAAGGAGGACTCTCCACTCTTCAAGTACCTCATTGAGATCTGAAATGCCTTGGTTGCCAAGGCAGGGAATGAACAAGTTGCAAGAAGTCTTCTCCATCATTGGAGCTTGCATGGTACGCATGATGGGGTGAGATGTTGCTACGACTTCTTAAGGCCCCGAGGTATAATGGTGCATTGGACCGGCGTTGCTTGGGGCCCTTGTAACACCTCATAATACTCATTCGTCCTTTGGTTGGGAGCACTCAATCAGTTTCGAACAAAAGATCGCCTAGATTTCCTTGCGATTGATCCGACTTGCTCTCTTTGCGGTACAACGGATGAATCTTTGAAGCACCTCTTCTTCAAATGCCCCTTTAGCTTGGAGATTTGGGGTGTGATTTGTGATTGGATTAAACTTCATCATAGGCCATTAACTCGCAAGGGTGCTCTAAAATGGATCAAGATTGAGGCTCGGGGGGCAAGTTGGCAAGCCAAGTTTAAGAAAGTGGCACTTGCGGTTACCGTTTACTTCATTTGAAATGCCCGTAATAGGTTAGTTTTTGAAATTGAAACTCAACCTAAGAGTCTTGTGATTCGTAAGATCAAAACTCGTGTTTATTATACTATATTTTCGATGTATCTGAATGTTCTTATCGAAATGGAGAGGAAAGCCCGTGGGACTGGATTGGCCTAACCTCCATTTGTACCCTTATTTGGAGTTTTATAAGGGTTTTCGCCTCCCATTATTTTGATTAGCGAATGAGGAACCGAGTATGCGGTTACCCACTAGGCTTTTTGTTTGGCATTTGACGGGCTAGGTTTTTTGTTTGCCATTTGATGGTCGTTATAGCACCATATTTTATCTATATATCTTTAATTTATCGATAAAAATAAATAAATTTAATACCTGAATTTTATTCCTTCTCAATAGAACGTTAATATTTTAAATTAATTTTTGATTCAATGTTTTTTTTTTGGTTAATTGTAAGGTCTAACTAATTTTACTTTTCGACATGAATGTGTAAACTAACTATTATGTGAAAAAATATATTATCATTATTTTTTCTTGTAAACTTTACATACTTATAATAAAAAAATAATAAATATCCTTATTAAAATGCATAATAAGAGAATGAAATTATATAAAGTACAATGATGCAAAATTTTAATAATTATTATTTTTAAAATTGATAATTTGAAAAATAAGAAATTAAAATACTATTTTTTATGATAATTTAAAAATGTAATTGAACTAAAAAATAATATTCAAATATTGTTGCTTCATTTCAGGTTTTCAAGATTTTAACTTTTCTTTTTCATCGCAAAAGTTGAAACAATGTCATTGTTGGCGTATATATTTTTGTAAATTGTATTTGAATATTATTTTTTAGTTTTATTACTGTAACAACAAATTTTATGAAAAACATAAAACTTTTTGTACAACTTGATTTTATTTCGATCAAACGACTTGTGGGTATAATCTCTATATATCTCACCTGATTTTTTTCTTTATGAATTTGGGCTTGAGATCTTGAAAGATGGATTTGACGATTTAATCTCATTCATGCTTGAGCTTGAATTTGTCTAACATTAATTTGGAGGCCGAATGACTTATTTTCGTATTAAATGTTAGACCTTGACTTGATTGAAGAAGACTTTTTGGAGGACTTGTTTCTTTGATCTTCTTGAAAGAGTGATTTTGACTTGAATAACGTTGACTCGAGGGCTTGATAGTTTTTTCCCAATCAAACTCTATGTTGGTTGAACTTTTCAACGAACACGTTTTGAACGTCGCTTGAAGGTCCTTGATATTTTTGGTTTTATTTGAGAGGAGTAGAAGTTGTCTCTTTATTTCTTGGGAAAAAGCCGCCACCTCTTTTTCTTCTTCTTGACTTTCTTCTTCATTGAACAAACTCCTCAAGAACTTCTTCAAATCTTCAAGAGGGTTCTTGAGAGTTATTGACTTTGAGACTTTTATTTTTGAGATGTGTTCGATATTTTGAGGTGTGATTTGTGGTATTGAGGAGAGCCCTATTTATATGTAAGTGTAGGAGGGAGAGTCTTGGAGAAGAAGACATCAATTTGATTAGTCTTTTATGATTTGATATAATCTCTTTCCTTATCCTAAGATTTGACTTGATAGACAAAAATAATAACTTTATTAATTAAATATCTTATTTATCTTGGATTTATGTCCCAAAATAAATAAAAACATTAAATATATAATTAAAAAATTGAGTTTTAGATTAGTACACACTCCATCAAACTAGAGGTGGCCAGGTGCCGGGTCCGGACCCGAGCCCAGCCCAGCCCAGCCCGCCGGGTCGGCTGGCCTCAATTGTTGGGCCCGTAACTGGCCCGACAATTTCTATGGGCTGATTCATTTGAACCGGCCCGGGCTAAAAGAAAATAGATAAAAGACGGCCCTTACAAAATTCCGGGCCGGTTCATAACCGCGCCTATACGGGCCAGGCCGCGGGTCCGACCCGTTGCCATGTCTACATCAAACATGTGTATACGTAATTATATGCATACATATGATGGTTTCTATTTATATCATGAAACATCCGAATTCATTTCACGGTAACTAACACGAAAAGAGCATAGCATACTTTTAATAGCATTAAGTATTTGAGACAGTTTAGGCAGCGCGTGGAGTAGTTGAAATTTGAATTTTTCTTGTCTCTTTCTCAAACAGAAGTAAAATTAGACCGTTCCTCGATATGCTCGTTACACTTTACTTTCACTGTTTCACATACTCTTTTTCGATTTCTTGTTCATTTCTTTTGATTTCTGTGAACATCTATCTATCTCTTGTACACTCAGAACGATAGTGACCTATGTAGTGGGCGCCCAGATTCGAAGCAGATTGGCCATTGTAAAAATTTCAACTGAAATGGTAGCCGGAAAAGTGAAAACGGCAATGGGGTTCCAAAAATCACCAGCCCTCGCGAAACCGAAGCCGGAAGCGTCCCCTAAACAACTGCCAATGTCCACGCCGACCTCCGCCAAGCAGCAGCCAGGCCAGAAAGGCTCAGGCGCCGGCTTCTCCCGCTCCTTCAGCGTCTACTTCCCCCGCAGCTCCGCCCAAGTCCAGCCGGACGTGGCCGAGCTCCTCCGCGTCGTCGAGGAGCTGCGCGAGCGGGAGTCCCGGCTGAAGACGGAACTTTTGGAGCACAAGCTGATGAAGGAGTCCGTGGCCATTCTCCCCGTCCTGGAGCTGGAGATCGCGAGCAAGGACTCGGAAATCGAGCGGTGTAGAGCGAAGATCGAGTTGTTGGAGGCGGAGAACGAGAGGGTGAGGCAGGAGAACGAGGTTCTGCACATGGAGCTGACGAGGCAGAACCACAAGTACGAGGAGAAGATCAAATACATGCAGGAGGAGTTGTTGGATATCAAGCGAGCTGTTTCGGAGCAGGAGGAGACGGCGTCCTCTTCATCTTCAACCACGCCCAAAATAGTCGGCAATTACCAAAAGTCGAATTCGTTATCTGCAAGGTGTTTGAGAAAATGCCCCACTGAAAACAACAGCAGCAGCAGTAGGCCCAGTTTGTGCGTGAAGAAGGAAGGTGAATTGAAAAGAGAGGAAGTTTCTGAGAGCACGGAGATACCGACGCACTCGAGATGCAACTCTGAGGAGATTCCAGAAACTTGGATAAGGTCCCGAGCTCCGCGAGTCCCAAAGCCGCCTCCTAAGCCGTCGCCATCTCTATCCGTGTCAGTCTCCTCGCCTTCTTACGGCTCTTTATCCAATTCGGGCGATCGTGCACTGGCAGAGATATCCAACATTCCACCGCCTCCTCCTCCACCACCGTCTGCAAAAATCGGGTCATTTCCTCCCCCACCGTCTGCAAAAAACGGGCCATTTCCTCCCCCACCGCCACCACCGCCGACCAAGGAATTGAAGTCTAGGCCGGCGGCGGCAAAGGTCAGGAGAGTGCCCGAAGTTGTTGAATTTTACCACTCGCTGATGAGGAGGGATTCTAATTTCCGCCGGGATTCTGGCAGCGCCGGCTGTCCCTCCGACTGGACGGCTGGGGCTGTGGCAAAGAATATGATTGGCGAAATTGAAAACCGTTCTTCGCATTTGCTCGCGGTTAGTTTTTAAGTTTTTACATATTTGAGTTTATTTGCGTGTTTCTATACAATTAAATCCGTTCAAATGTGTTTTTAAGTTAATTTTGAAAAAAATAGTATTGGTAGTTGTTATGAGATTTGATTTTATATTAGATTAGAATAATATTTAAAACAAAATAATTAAAATTGATTTGATCTAAAACTATGAGAGAGATGGTGTGGAGTGATGAAACCAGTGCTGGCTTTTATGACAAATTTGCGACAATCTTTTCCATTTTGCTTCGCTTGCCCCTCCCGATTTAACTACAACTGAATATACTGTTTCGTTTTCCCGCTCAATCGCAGATTAAGACGGATGTAGAAACACAGGGGGATTTCATCAGGTTCTTGATTAAAGAAGTTGAAGGCGCTGCTTTTACCGACATTGAAGATGTGCTGCCGTTCGTTAAATGGCTAGACGATGAGCTATCCTACTTGGTAAACTTTTTACTAAAATTTTGATTCATTTTAATATATTTTTACTTATGGTGATCAACAGTTTCTGTAATTACTGAAGGTTGATGAGAGGGCAGTTCTGAAGCATTTCGAATGGCCTGAACAAAAGGCAGATGCATTAAGGGAAGCCGCATTTGGATACAGTGATTTAAAAAAGCTGGAAACGGATGCTTCGTCTTTTCGTGATGATCCCAGGCAGCCCTGTGCTTCTGCTCTCAAGAAAATGCAATCTTTGTTTGAGAAGTATGATTTTTTTACCAAAATAGCTTATGCTGATAGTGCTAATATTTAGGAAAAGTCTGAGGGAACATTCTTAATTTATCGATGCAGATTGGAGCATGGTTTATATAATTTGTCCAGAATGAGAGAATCGGCTATCAAACGATACAAATTGTATCAGATTCCAATGAATTGGATGATGGATACCGGCTATGTGAATCAGGTAAACTGAACTCCTTGACATCTCTTTTACTTGTTATTTTTTTCTCATTTTATTTTTGGCAGTTCCATTGAGTTATGTTGAGGAATTGGTAACGTAATGGTAAGGAATTAAGCCGAGTAATAAACATTGGAAAACAGGACACAAACGAGCGAGTGAAAGACCGTCTCATTTTGTATTGTCGGCACCTGCATTTGCACGTGACTACTTTTTTTTATGTTCTTCCCGGGCCATTTGAGAAATTGATTCTTCATCCTAAACATTTACCGAACCTACCGCATATCTATGTCAATCAATCTGCAGTGCGCTAAATTGCGTAATATATTAAGGATTTTTTTTTTTTTTTGGAATGGAAGATTTTTCACCTTTGATCAATCTTGTCAAGATAATAAATTCATATTGCTGAGGATGGATAATGTCAAACCAGAACAATGTCTAAATTAGTTTAGTTATGATTGGGGGATATGATAACGTCAACCTTATTATACTCATTCAGATCAAGCTAGCATCCGTAAAATTGGCCATGAAATACATGAAGAGAGTGACGGCTGAGCTTGGTGTGGATGATGGTGGTGGCCCTGAAGACGAAGAGCTTATACTCCAAGGCGTAAAGTTTGCTTTTCGAGTACATCAGGTGAAAACAATTCTATTTGGCTACATTGCAATTTTAGTCCATACGTAATATAGAATGGCAATCTCCATGTTTTAAACACCGTACTATACCGGCTGGTATTACCGGTAATATCTCATATTTGGTCTGGCCGTTACTCTAGCCCTCTAAATACCACTTTTCCAAAATACTTGTCTATACCGATTTTACCGCAAAATAATCGGCCAAAATAGATATACCGCATTTTAAAAAAAAAAATATATATATATTATTACATAAGTTGCATGTTTTATTTTTATTATATTTACATTATTAATAGATTTTAATCAATTTTAGTATTTATAATGTGGTTTTATATAGTAATTATATTACAATAATAAATCAAATTAATAATTATTAAAATCGGTAAAATAGGCGGTAATACCGATTTTAGCGCGTACCGGCGACTCATTCGGTATAATCGCCAGCATTTTCTGGAATTCCATTTTATCGGTTCCATTTTCTATTAACTTTTTCCCCTTTTCAGTTTGCGGGAGGTTTTGATGTGGAGACAATGAGAGCATTTCAAGAACTCAGAGAGAAGGGCTCAATCTTGCAACATCGAAAAACAACGTTAACATGAATTCATTTATCGCTTTTCCTATATGCCACTACTTGCTAAAATCAAACAGGCTTTAAAATTGGCTCTTACCACCACCATTTTGCTGTTGTTGTAAAGTAAGACCTGACTTGTAAGTATAGTTGGAAGACAACGCGGGCACCGCATGAGCGAGGTCAGTGCGCCCGCACAAGACGGGCGCGCGGCTGTCATTTGGGTCGAGCGTGTTGGTATTATGTTATTGGAATGTTTAATCATAGAATATAAATTCATCATCCTATACACAAGTGTTCGATTCTAAAAATAAATTATTTCTAGATTCCTAAATATCAAACTAATGTTTGGATCCATTTTAAGGATTGGTTTTTTAGGTGTGGAGTGTGACGATCCACTCATCGCCATTCAAGAACTTTATAAGAGCAAGTAAAATGTTACTTTAGATTCCAACTTTACTTGAGAGTTAGTGTGAAAAAACTCACTTCAATTTTGTGCTACATTTTTGGATTGTTATGAAGATATGAATAATATGGCACTTCTATTGAAGCCTATGGATACATCTCTTCTCTAGCCTTCCATGACATACATCACATAGAAATATCTAGAGTATTCTTCTTCACACCAAGGGAGTTCTAGAGGTGTTAGGTAATTAAATAGAAGTCCTTAAAAGTAGTCGAGCACCCGACCACCGTTAGCCACCACGCACCACCGCGATGCGAACCCAGCCCATTGGCGGCCCGCGAGTTCCCAGCGAGACTTGCTCCTGAGGATGTTGCAGCCCTGCTCGACGACAGCACCCGTCCGCGACCAGTTCCCAGCGACCGCACGTGACCCGCGCAATATCGATGGCCCGAGATGATCGCGACAAAGCAATTTCCGGCGAGTGGAAAATCAAACTATCTCCATCAACGGAAATCTACAACGACTCAAAGTCTGCAAATTTTTAAACCGTAAGCCTTTTACATTAGCATATAGATCCATTGCGTATAGGTTAATTCGTAGATAAATTTGTAACTTGCACATTAGCGATAAATCCTCATATATCCTAACAGCCATTTAGCTAAATATATGTCACGTGCGGGCACATGATTTTACTTCTGGTGGCACAAACGATTTTCCTGCGCCATTAGGACTAATATTGCAATACAAATTTAAATCACACAACTAAAACGTAAAAATAAAGATCTCATGACTGAAAATGACCAAAATCACAATTTTGGTGGACTTTCAGGCTAAGTTTTGTCACGTGCCTTATCTTCTTGTTTAAATTAAATTTCAATTAGTTAGACTATTACACTACCAGAAAATGATGAAATTCCAACGGATATCTATTCCAAAAGAATTATTTCAACGACAATTCCAACGGATATTTCAATACTATTATTTCCGTTAGAATAAATCAATGGATTCCAATGGAATTCCAACAAAAATATTTCGTTTGAATAAGTTTTTCATTGGAATTTCCGTTGGATTTTGTCGATACCAACGGTGAATTTTCCAACAGGGGTGGAAATAAAAATTTCAACAGAATTTGCATATTCCAACGAAAATTCCTACGGTAAAAAGCCATTGGAAATATAGTCGTTGGAATCATCAAATTCCATCTAAAATTCTATCTAAAATTCCAATGAAAAACACATTCCAACGAAAAACACATTCCAACGAAAAACACATTCCAAAGGAATATTTCCGTTGGAACCATTCCAACGGAAGCTATACCATTGGAATATCCGTTGGAATTTCCATTGAAATATATTACTATAGGATTTTCCGTTGGAATATAACAATAATTTTGTAGTGTATTAGTTCTTATTGTGCCCTCATCATAATTAGACAATTTCTTCTTGTAAACATATATATATATATATGCAATATGAATGTTTAATCCAAATTCGTCAACAGAAGATAAATTTGATATACACCATATATGAAAAATCGATAACATATATAAAAATTACTAGAACATAGAATATATTTGTGATTTGAGTCTATCAAGTATTTTATCTATACTATTATAAAAGTGCCAATGAATCTGTAAAAATATTAATTGCCTAAAATAATCTTATTATGCCATATTTATAATGGCAGTTTCGTAATTTTAATACATGTATTTGATAGATTAACTAATATTAATTTAAATACCTAACCAAGGTTCGGGCGGCGTAGCTATCCGCAAAAAATCTCTGGCAAATCAAACCAAAGCATGCGCCCTTCAAATTGTGGAGAGTTGCGGTGAATGGATTTCAGAATTGCCCCATTAATTTTTTTTTTTTTTTATGATTGTATTTTAATGGTTTGGATTTTTTTTGCAATGTCAATTCAAATTTGTGTATATTAAATATTTTATTTATTGACATTATTTTAAGATCGGTAAATACTTTTATGATTTTCTCAATAATTGTAAGAGTTTTAACCGTAAGTATATAAGATAAATTTTTTAACAATGTTTATTTAATTTTATAAGTTTATTAATAACTATAAGTAAAAATATGAAGTCGATAATCGATATTACTTATTCTCATAACGACCATAAACTATAGATTTATTTAAAAAAAAAAAAAGCTATGAGAAACAAAAAATTGTGTAACACTATGAGAGATACATTGTTGAATAATTGTTTTGCAACTCAAACTTCTAATCTACTCAATTTATTTATTTAAATAAGATTAGAATAATTTTATAAAATTTTTTAATACTAAAAGTCATTCCAATTGTTTTCCTATCGAATGAGATGCTACTTGAGCAACTGATTTAATTTTGATCATAAGATCGTCTACAAATTAATCAATATATCTAGAGAATCATGAAATGCCTATATACACTGAAGTTAATGAATTTTTATCAATAAATCATATCATACAACACCATTAATCATCTATTATTAACAACTATAAGTAAAAAAAAATTAAAATCGATAATGTTTGTCCTCATAATGCCGATAAAGTATAGAAACATTTTTTATTTTTCAAAATAACTTATAAAAAATAATAATTGTGTAGTAGTATGAGAACAGTTGAATTCTTGTTTTGCAGCCTAAACTTCTAATATACTCAACTTCTTTCTTAAAATATGATTAGAATAGTTTTATGAAATTGTATAATATTAAAACCCATGCTATTTATTTTCATGTCGAATGGG